GCACAGCGAGTAAAAGCTACTCAGCATCACTAGAGCATTTCTGACGTTCATATTCGGTGCCGTGTTCCTGCATTCCGACGCACACTCTGTAACGGGGTGAATCGTTACATAACAATTTCTAAGAAATTGTTAATAGAATATCACTAAAAGAGTTATATTCTCAGAATATTGTCATAAGGATAAATATTCTGTAGCACTTACGAGTAGTTCCTAATTGGTTGATATAGGCCATTATATCAACCAACGAAGACGCGCCACGACAGACGCACGCAATGAGTGGTGAGCAGATAACTGATCTACACATTTGTATTTAGACATAGTTAGATGAGGATGAACAGTGATTTATTAACAGGCATTAACTATGATAAATACAGCTCTACTTTTTACTTTGACCAAGTACTCGCTTCTTCTTACCGTCTTCCTCTGCACGTACGAGTGTACGTGAAGTCACGAGGCACCGCCTTATTCCGTCATCAGAATAAGTAGCTTGTACTGTCACCAGTACAAGCTTCAGGGTGCCCCGTTACACCTGGTAGCACTTCGTAGTCCGTCCAAGGACCGCGTTCACATCCAACATGAATATGTTGGATGATGAAGATGACCAAAGCTTTCACGCTACGCGTGACGGCTACTCCCATTTGAGCGATGTCGAATGGGATGCGGTTGAACGAATGGGTTCGACCATGGGCATCCATGCTGTTAGCGTCATGCTAGAGGCTCTCAATAGAGATGCCCAACATGCTACTATCGCCAAGTTCATTCAAAATGAACTTGACGCAGAACGCGAGAAAGTAGCCTTGCTTCACCAACAAGGTTCTCAACAAGCAGAGTTGTTGAGAGAACAAGGTGCTCAACAGTTTGAACTGTTGAGACAGCAGCAGGCTGCTGCTGGCGGGTCGATGCACTCGCGTCGGCCCGAGACTTTGAAGATTGACATCTCAAAGTATAGGGGGGTCGAAGAAGACTCCCTCTTGAGATGGTTCGTCGAATTGGATGACGCCATAAGGGCGCGTCGCATCGACGACGGGGATATGCAAGTTGCATTTGCCCAGTCAAATCTGGCAGGACGTGCCAAGACTTGGGCACTGGGGCTCAAGCTGCACGACCCATACGCGTTTGGGTCGTTGGAAGTCTTCAAGTCGCGGCTCAGACAAACGTTTGAACCGCCTAGAGCTGAGTTCAGAGCTCGAACCGAACTCTTGAAGCTCAAGCAGGGTAAGCGTGATGTGCACGCTTACGCTCAACATATACGACATCTCACGAGTTGTATAAGTTCCAATCCGGTGGATGAACACACGTTGGTTTCGGTGTTCATGCAGGGTCTTGCGGATGGTCCCGTCAAGACTCACCTGTTCCGGCTTGAACTAGATTCACTAGAACAAGCCATTTCCATTGCGGAGCAGGAAGACTTCAGTCTGAGACAGGCTCGCGCCAGCTCGACATCATATCGTCAACCGAGACGATATGACAACGGAGGTCCAGAGCCGATGGAACTCTGTTATGTAGAGAGCGAGAAGGCTCGCTCTACAGGCTACAAGAAGTTGCAGAGATGCAACAGATGTCAAAAGACAGGACACTACGCTTACGAGTGTAGTGCCCCTCGTCCAGTGTCTCGCGACACTGGGCGTAGTGACCGTCCACCCATGAGAAAGGGGCAGGGACGAGGGTCCGCAGTTGGTGCAAAGACGCAACAACGGGATGGACCGAAAAAACGGACAGGATCAGTAGGTGCGGAGCACCCTACTGATCCAGCAACGTCAAGAGAATTTGTAGGCCTCTTGATGAAGGTTGCTCCCAACACACAGACATTGTGCGTTGCTGCTCTAGGTAATGAGATCTCACTCATTACCTTGAAACTCGAAGTGACGAATAAGTTGTCCCTTCGAGCTCTAGTCGATTGTGGGGCGTCCAACAATTTTGTGCGACGCCAATCGCTAGAAGATGGTCACTTTAAATTCAGTGAATGTGACACACCTCCTACGAGGATGACGGTACGTCTTGCGACAGGCGCATCCGTAACCGTCATGAAGCGTATAGTGAAGATTCACTATACGCTAGAAAATACCCAATACGACGATGACTTTATCGTATTGGATTTGGATGACAAATTTGATGTCATCCTTGGAATACCGTGGCTCAGAAGGTACGAACCACGGGTAAACTGGCAACATCGGACAGTAACGATGCCTGCCGCTTGTTCATCAGATGGCCATCTGATGAACGTTTTGGAGCGTCCACAAGCGTGTGGATGTACTACGAGTGAGTGCGATGGCCTCACTTGTGGTACGGTCGTTAGTACGACTGCACAAAACCTTAGTGTACCAAACGGTTACACTTCGGAGCAAAGTTCCGGCGGCTGTGAGGAAACACAGGCTGCGCCGAAGGTCCACCACTCGAATAAGTCGGGTGGACTGGGACAAAGATGTATCCCTAGAGGGGAACATCTAGAAGAGAAACAATCGATCGCTCAGGTTAAGCGAAACGATAATCCTAGATCGACTGGAGAGTCTTTCGTAGAGGATCTCGCTGTGGTTGCGCAACCCCAGCTAGAGGAAGTAAAGGGAATAAGTCCCAAGATTACAAATACGGCGGAAATAAGTTCCCCGAAACCCGCGGGAATAAGTCCCCGGGAAGACGAAGGAATAAGTCCTTCGAAGCCTGAGGGAATAAGTCCCCAGGAAATGACAGAGACATTGAATGTCATAGTCAATAACGGATCATGTGTAGGCGCTTATACACTTGATCTGATTGCGCCTCCGAAGTTAACTTCGGAGATCACTCAGTTGCCAACGCTCGAACATAAAAGGTTCTTGCGTGATCTGCGTAGTGGCAAAGTCAAGCAGATCTGCATACTCGTCGCTGACGACGAGTATGTAACCGACATAAGGTCAGCAACAGTGTTTACTGAGAACGAGAGAGTTCTCAGTAGTTCATCTATGGACGAGAGTGTCCTAGATGAAAAGACACGAATTGAGCGATATGAGTCCCAATCATGGGAATCGCTCAAGGAAAATCCTCTCTATGAAGATTTGGTTGAATTCAAGGATGTATTCCCTGAAACTGTTCCGTGCGAATTACCGAAGGATAAAGGTATTCGACACGAAGTCGAGCTTAAACCAGGCTCGAAGTACTGTGTCATGAAGCAGTGGCCACTGCCTCGTGAACAAGTACTTGCGATCGACAAGTTCTTTGCCGATCGTTTAGCAGCGGGCCATGTGAGGGAATCAACTTCCCCACATAGCTCTCCGACCTTCTGTGTGCGAAAAGCAACAGGAGGGTGGCGGATAGTGCACGCGTTTAACAAATTGAACGCTGCAACGGTACCGGCTCAGACGCCGATACCGAGGAAGGACGTAATCATTGATGGTATGTCAAAGAGTACCATCTTTTCGTCCATGGATTTGATGGATGGCTTCTATCAAATCCTAATGCGGGAACGGGATATACCCTATACCGCAGTTAGCACGCCTAGCGGCATGCTCTGGGAATGGCTAGTAATGCCACAAGGGCTCAGTAATGCCCCTGCCACGTTCAACAGATGTGTATCACATCTGTTGAGACCAGTACGAGAGTTCGCGCCGAGTTATTTCGATGACGTATTCATCCATAGTCGAGCTATGGATGGAAAGTCGGACGTTGAGGTTCACAGGTACCACGTCCGACAAGTTCTTACAATCATGCGAAAGCATCAATTGTATGCTAACCTCAAGAAGTGTATATTTGCAGCAAGCGAAATACCACTTCTTGGGTGCATCGTTGGTAAGAACGGTGTACGTCCTGATCCCGAAAAGATCAAGGCGATCACCGACTGGCCTGTGCCGGTCGATGTCAAAGGTCTTCGAAAATTCCTTGGCTAGCGGCGTATTTGCATAAGTATTCACGCAATTACGCCGAGATGACTGTACACCTCTCTCGTTTGTTGAAAAAGAACGAGAGGTGGTTATGGAACGCTGAATGTCAACGCTCTTTTGAGGGTATCAAGCAGAGCTTGATACAATCCCCAGTCCTAGCAATAGCCGATCAGGACAGGCCATTTCATGTGGTCTGTGATGCCAGCGATTTCGCAATCGGCTGTGCATTAATGCAGTACGACCTTGAAGGCGTTGAACGCGTCGTCTGCTATCAGTCGCGTCAGCTGCAACCAGCTGAGCGGAACTATCCAGTGCATGACAAGGAACTCCTTGCCATGAAGTATGCACTCGCGAAGTTCAGAGTCTATCTATTAGGAGATAGACCCTTCGTTGTTTACACTGACCATGCGTCCTTACGCACGGCAGTGAACAGCCCGCACCTTTCACAACGAATGGCGCGGTGGTTGTCATTCTTTGCAGAATACAACTTTACGGTCGAGTACAAACCAGGACGACTTAATGTCGTCGCTGATGCACTCTCACGTCGTCCCGACTTTGAAACAGTCGCGAAACCCAACAGTGAGACAGTCACTGTTGCGGTTATGACGTCCTCAGTTCCATCTACAACGTTGTATGATGATGTGAGGCGGGCATACGCCCAAGATGGTGAGATAGTGAAGTTGTTGTCACATCTCTCCCAACCATCTCGAGAATCGTTGAAACGATTGTCGTCTGCGTATCGATCTGCATCAGATCGATACACTACTCGTAACGGTTTACTGTACTATACAGCCGTTTCTGGTGACACACCACGTGTTGTCATTCCAGATGATACTGATCTGCGTTTGCGGATCATGTTTCGAGTATCACGATGCTCCTATAGGAGGACATCGTGGCCGAGAGAAAACATATCTCACGGTAAGTCGAGACTTTTACTGGCCCCGCCAGTATCAGTTTGTGCGAAAGTATGTTCGCGCATGCGAAGTCTGCCAACGAGTGAAGTCAAGTCCTTCACTGCGTGCACCTTTACAGCCTCTACCGGTTCCGGCTGAGTGCTGGGAATCCATCTCAATGGATTTCGTCTTCGGGTTACCCAAAGACGCACGCGGGAATACGGGTATTCTCGTATTTGTTGACAGATTCAGCAAAATGGTACACCTTGTGGCTGTACCAGAGACAATCACGGCAAGTGGCTGTGCTTGTGTCTTTATTGACACCATCTTCCGACTTCATGGGTTGCCCCGTGAACTCGTATCAGACAGAGATCCACGATTCACTGCTGATTTCTGGCGTTCCGTGTTCAAATCACTCGGAACGCGCTTGAAGATGTCAACATCTGATCATCCAGAGTCAGATGGTCAGACGGAACGTGCCAATCGTGTCCTTGAAGAGATACTTCGAGGATACGTACACTCCTTTAAGAGTTGGAGTGAGTTTTTGCCAATGGTAGAGTTTGCCATCAACAACTCGGTGCATGCGTCCACGACACATACACCGTTTTACGTGAATGGCTTGCGCCATCCGCGTACCCACCTTACTAGAGTGTAACTCTGGTTTAAGGGGGGAGGGACTCGCGCGAGCAAAAACCGATTTGGTTCACGCTCATCACGCTCTGACGAAGAAGTCATTGCGTTTGATGCCGATATCGATAACATCGATATCGAAGAAGATGATGCCAGTGAGAGTGCGGAAGCCCTCACTGAAGACAATGATCCCAGTGAGAGTGCGGAAGCCCTCACTGAAGAAAAGGTTGTTGTTGCTGCAGTGCGCTCACAGCACACTGAAGCTAACGAGTCATCAGATGAGTTCATACTGGCTCGTGAAACGGTAGTCCGTTTTGTGCAAGACTCCATCGCCGAAGCGGTGGATAAGCAAAAAGCAAAACGCTGACAAGAATGGAAGGGCAAACACTCTTTATTTAATAAAGGTGACTTAGTCCTACTGTCTACGGTTAATCTACCAAAACATGTAGTGACTAACTTGGGTAGCAGTAAACTACTACCCAAGTACATTGGCCCATTTCGTGTATTGCACCGCCTAGGCAATGCATACACGATCGAGTTACCACGTAAGATGCGAACGCATCCCACGTTTTACGTTGGTCGGCTTAAGCCGTACCATCAGTACGCTGCTTCTTCCGATGAAGAACGCCCTTGCGCTCAAGCATCTCGCAGAGAGCCTTGTGCTCCCGATGGTGGGCATCAACAAGGGTCTGAAGAGCAGTTATCTCAGCCCGAGACCGATCAACAATCCCACGAGCTACCCTTAGCTCGTCACGAAGAGATGTCAGAGATCTCTCGTTCCTCAAGCTGAGCAAAGGCAAACTCAGCTCGATGCTTCGAGGCAGTGTCCACCATCTGGAGACGCCTATTCCGCTCATGCTCGAGATCGTCGCGTAACCCTTGCGTTACGCGATCAAAGAAGCTCGGGAACACACCGATCCACATGATCGTGTGGAGAGCGTCTTTCCTCCTCCTCCACCTCCATTAGAGGACTCTCGCGGTGGCCAGCGCTATCTAGTAGAGCAGCTGTTGAACCACCGCGACGTGAACGGACGTCGGACGAGTTACCTCGTCCGGTGGCGCGGCTATCCCCCGTCCTGGGATTCTTGGGAGCCCCGCTCCCACTGATGGTTGACGTACTGGGTCTGGTCGAGCAGTACGACGCGGCACATCCTGTGCCGCAGAAGGACCGCCGGAGAAAGTCTTCCCGGCACGGTCGTAAAGGGATTTCAGGTTGTCAATCCCTTCGTACATCTCAGTAGAGACACGTACGCGCCACCACGGGCTGGTAAGGAGGTAAGCCTCCTTAGGTGCCTCGTGCAGAGTTGTTCACACAACATGGGCACGAGTCTCCCCAAGAGAGGCAGGGTAATCCTTTCTCCCTTGACAGACGATGCAGCTTATAGCGTGCACCTGTCGGGGTTCGCTTTTCAAACTTATCACGAGCTTTGATAAGTTTGTCGTTCCAAGCGTCACGACCTACATCCTCGAGATTATGGATGTAGGCGTTCCACGCCTGAAGTAGTGAGGACCATCACGTTTGTGATTCCCACTGTACCATCGATGTCTGAAGAAAGCATCGATGAAGAACTCATGTTCAGCGCGATAGTCTTTCGCGCTGGGGTCAAGGTGATGGATCTCTGACGAATCGAACAATCGTGTTCGATAACGATCACTCGTCGTCGCCGACAAGTGATCCATGACGGATTTAGGAGGCATCCATGCCTTCTTTTCTGGAGCGAGACGCAACACATTGCGGTCCCGCTCTTCCTGCGACGTGCCGACAGAAGTACTGGCACCTCCGCTGTGAAGTGGTGTCCATAGGAGAACCGACACCACTATTAGCGCCCGAGTCTCGCGACCTCGAGCGCCTTCGCTTGGCGATGGTTCATCTGACTCATCAGATGAACCAAAGATGCTGCGACGCAAAGCATCGTCCATGCCACGCTTGGCAGGCGGCTTGGATTCAATTGCCGTCGATACGGATCCGTCATCCGTATCAGGAGAGTACGAGACACCGAGCTCGTACTCTGTGAAGACACGAGTGTCTTCATGACCAGCGCCTGCATCACCAGGTGATACAGGCTGAGTCGATTCAGCAACCGATGGGATATCAGTTGCTGTAGTTTCTGCTTCGGCGTCCGCACAGAGACGTGCAGACGCGCTCTCGGCGGCCTTGCTCGCGCATCGCATGGGCTTGTTTACCATGCGATGAGATGTTGGAAAGTGGACGCGGACCAACAAGGTGCAAACCCCGTCCCAAATGATTTGGGACGAGTATCCATTTAGTCAATCAGTCACTAAAGTGACTGATGGTTAAGGGGGGGGTGATGTAACGGGGTGAATCGTTACATAACAATTTATAAGAAATTGTTAATAGAATATAACTATAAGAGTTATATTCTCAGAATATTGTCATAAGGACAATATTCTGTAGCACTTCCGAGTAGTTCCTAATTGGTTGATATAGGCCATTATATCAACCAACGAAGACGCGCCACGACAGACGCACGCAATGAGTGGTGAGCAGATAACTGATTTACACATTTGTATTTAGTCATAGTTAGATGAAGATAAATAGTGATTTATTGCAGACATTAACTATTATAAATACAGTTCTACTTTTTACTCTAACCGAGTACTCGCTTCTTCTTACCGTCTTCCTCTGCACGTACGAGTGTACGTGAAGTTACGAGGCGCCGCCTTATTCTGTTATCAGAATAAGTAGCTTGTACTGTCACCAGTACAAGCTTCAGGGTGCCCCGTTACAGTACGACCACTTCACAGCGAGTAAAAGCTACTCAGCATCACTAGAGCATTTCTGACGTTTATATTCGGTGCCGTGTTCCTGCATTCCGACGCACATCGACATACTTTTCAAGCCGCAGTCCATTCGCGGAGTCAATTGTTACAAATGCATTTATTTTTTGCCTCGATCAGTCGCGGGTTGACGTCGTTTCACATTATCATAGGTCAATTTGAATTTAGGCCGTTAACCAATCAATTTCAGAGATAAGAACAGTTAGAGCTGGTGACAGCTAAGGCTTCAGTCGCTCGACGACTAGCACGGATCCTTTTAACCTTCACCCCGAGACAGGGAGTAATGGGAGGCCTCTGGGGTCTACCAGACGCCAAGAGCCTCTGTCACAAGACGACGTGACGGCGAAACTTAGTTACAACGCTATCTCCGCCGCTTCTCAGCCAGCGGGGGCTGCGGCGACGGAACCGGGAGGCCAACCCACGGCTCTCCAGAAAGTAGTCGCTTGGGCCACGCAGCCGGCCTGCGACAGTTCATCTCTAGGTGCTGGAGGCGGAGATGCTCGTGGTGACACTATCCCGGAGGCACCGCGGCAGAGGTCGCCGATGCAACAGACGGGGATCAGTCAGCGGCAGGGCCTCATCTCGCCAATGCACCAGGAAGAGACCAGTCAACGGTAGGACTGTAATGAGGCACCCTTTGTTTGGGGTGCCGCGAAACTTCACGTACACTAGTACGTGCAGAGGAAGCTAATCTACTTAATGACTCGGTCAAGTAAAGGGTAAAAAGAGAACTGTATTTAATACAGTTAAGCTATCAACAAAACTTTAGTCTTTATCTACCTATTTTAAACTACGCCGTCGTATGACGACAACCTGCTCATCAACCATAGATTGCCACCAATCGCTGCTATACGCGCGCAATGAGTGGTATGTCTTATATCAACCAATTTTTAAGCAGCGCATGGATAGAATCCAAAAGGAGATGATATTCCTGCAATATTATCCATCCCGGATAGTATCGGTAGGATATTGTCATAATAGACAATATTCCAATAGACACCGTTCGGTGTCAATTTCATGTAACGGGCTACCTCGTTACACCCCCCCACAACCATGAATTACCCGTTAATTGAGTTAGAATTAATTGGGACAGGGTGACCACCGTTGGATCACTCTGGAAAAGGGAGCGCTTGTTGGTCAAATTCCAGTCATTTGCCAATCCTACGCATAGTTTCAAAACAAAGCGAGCTGCTACTGCAGCAGCAAAGAGAGCGGCTGCACGCATGCGTGCGGCGCGGAAAGTGCCTCTTACGCCTCAGCAGCAGGCGACTCGTCGCCTGTTGTCGTGGATCCTCCACGTGGTGAGTCACCACGTGCAACAGGTACATCCGTTGCGTCTGCAGCGGGTACCTCGAATCGTAATCAAGATGAGTCTGAAATAGAGCTCATCTATTCCGGCGAGTCGGATGATGCATCCGACTCGAAGGCGACTCCTCACGACTCAGGATCACCCGTGGCGGACACTGCGATAGCCAGGCTGACTGGCTCTGGTCAGCGCGGCAGCATCATGACCGAGATCTTTGGATCGAGTGATTACTCCGATGAGTCTCCGCCTCACACAAGTCCATTCAACGATCGGACGCGTGGAGATGGCGGTGATGCACCTATGCATCACCATGAGCGAAGTGAATCAAGGGATCGGGGTAACACTAGTGCCAGTGCTCGAGCTGGCACCAATGAAGAGGCCATGGACCAAAACGTCCTGCACCACGCTCATCAAGTGGAGTCTCCGTGGATGCCGCCATCCAGAGAGTAGGACCGGTTGGCCGGCACGACTACCGAACGGGATCGAACCCGTTGTGCGATTGCAGGAAAAGTTGCCCTCCTGATTCCGGCACGGAAACTATCCGTGCTGAGGAAGAGTTCTTCACCGATGCGTTCTTTGAACATCAGTGGTACAATGGTAGCCGTGTCCGAGACGGAAAGCCTTGGTGCACCGAATGGAATGCCCTCATCCACAGCATCACGTGTATTGGCCGTGAGGCTTGGCTCGCCAAACTTGATGCAGCTCGCATCAGGTTTGAGAAACGCAATCTCGTCGGGGCGCGACACAAGTTGAACCGGCTTTCAAGAGAGGCAGGATTACCCTGTCTCTCGTGGGGTGATTCGTGTCCAGGTTGCCTGGACAACTCGAAATGTGCCCCTAGGGAGACCTTCCTCCCTAATGATCCCTACTGGAGGGCGCGCTTCTCTTCTGAGATGTCCAAAAGGATTGACAATTTGGAATCCCTGTACTCGCGTTCGTGAGGTCGTTTTCCGACGGCCCTTCTTTGAACGCAGCGGGTGATTCTCGTCTTATTGCTCAACGAGACCCAGAACATCGACGATTAGCTGGGCGCGAAGCACCCAGTTGACCCACGCCGATGGATATCCACGCCAGCGGACGAGGTAACTCGTCCGGACTCCATTCACGTCCAGTGGTTTTGAACGCGCTCCACTAAAAAGCATTGACTACCGCTTGAGTCCACCAAATGATGTGGTGGCGGCAGGATCCCTGATCCGGCTCGAGGGCCGGATCAGCTCGATTTTCAAGAATTGAAGCTTGTAACGGAACAGTTGCAAGATGACCTGGATCATGAACGGACTCGGCGTTATGATCTTCAGGATCTTAAAAGGTATGGCTACAATTACTTAGCGCACGATCGTTCGATGATTGTGCCGCGTTTGCGCTCGCGGAACCTGAGAAATGAACGTTTTACTCGTTCTCTTCGTGACGAGCTGGTTGCAGCTCGTCAAGACATCGCTTAGCTGCGTGAGCAGGTCGCTTCTCTAGCCTCCCAGACTAGCTCGTTGAAACGGGACTACTCGAGGGTGGTCTCGGCTCTCGACCGCGGAGGTGTTCTTCGCCTCTCGAAACGGGCTCGTACTAATAGTACTGGCATAGACGCCTAACGAAAAATACAAGATGCGTACGTCCTACCATGCAGCTCATCGTGTATGCATTTCCCTTTTGGCGCAACACACGAAATGGAGCGATGGGGGGATTGGGCAGTAATTTACTGCTGCCCACGCTTGTCACTGCGTGTTTTGTTAGGTTTACTGCAGACTGTAAGACTAGGTCTCCTTCATCAAATTAAAGAACGTTTTATCTTCCATGTTTTCTGCATTTCTTTCCTGCTTGTATCGCGCGTCTGCAATAGAATCTTGAACGAAGCGGACAACCGCTTCGCGAGTCAGCATAATTTCTCTTCTGTTTCTTTCTTGTCAACGGCAGTGCGCTTCGAGTGCACTGCTGAAAGATCGTTGTCTTCACCAGTGAGGGCGTCATCTTTCTCACTGTGGCAGTCATTGGCGATGCAAAAAATACCAGTATTGTCGTCGTCATCGTCATCATCGATCCCATCGACATCGGCATCCATCACGTCTACACTTTTGTCGGCGGGTGATGACCAAGAACCAGATCGATTTTGCCCGAACGCGTTCACCCCCCTTTAAACTGGGGTCACACTCTAAGGAGGCGGGTAAACGTGGATGGCGTAGGCCATTCACGAAAAACGGTGTAAGCGTTGTCGACGCGTGCACCGAGTTGTTGATGTCGAATTCCGCCATCGGCAAGAACTCACTCCAGCTCGTAAACGAGCAGACATACCCTCGAAGTATCTCTTCGAGGACGCAGTTGACGCGTTCTGTTTGACCATCTGTTTCGGGATGATCAGAAGTTGACATCGTCAAACGTGTTCCAAGTGAATGGAACACGGATTGCCAGAATTCCGCCGTAAAGCGGGGGTCCCTATCGGACACGAGTTCACGGGGTAACCCGTGAAGTTGGAAGATAGCATCGGTGACACGCGCACAGCCCTGGGCTGTGATTGACTCCGGTGCAGCAACAAGATGTACCATCTTGCTGAACCAATCAAAAAACACAAGAATACCCGTATTCTTGTGAACGTCTTTGAAAACCCGAAGACGAAATCCATCGATACGGACTGCTGACACTCTGCCGGAATCGGAAGAGACTGTAAGGGTGCGCGGGATGAAGGTCTAGGCTTCACCCGTTGACAAGCTTCGCAAGCGCGAATGCATTTGCGCACAAACTCATAATGGCGGGGCCAGTAGAAGTCACAACTCACCGTGAGGTAAGTATTTTCTCTACCGCGGCGTTCACTTGTTGGGGCATCATGACACTCATACATCATGCGCAATCACAAATCAATATGAGCAGGAATGACGACTCGAGGTGTGTCGCCGTTGACTGCTGTATAGTGCAGCAGTCCATCACGGACAGAAAACTGTTCGGTTAAAGAGCGGTATAGCGACGACAAGCTTTTCAAAGCTTAATTACACGGATTGGATAAAAAAACCACCAACTGTAGAAGAGACTCATCTTCGGCGTATGCTTTCGCACGCCATCGAGCAGATTCGACGACGGAACACTCACTGTTAGTGTCGCGAGAGTGGGATCACCCCTACTGTTGTGTTGAGCAGTCGGATCGAAATCGAGCCGACGCGAAAGAGCATCAGCGACGACATTAAGTCTTCCTGGTTTATACTCTACTAAGAAGATGTGCTCCGCGGAGAAAGACAGCCACCTCGCCATTCGTTGCGAGAGGTGGACTGTTTACGACCGTGCGTAATGACGCATGGTCAGTGTAAACAATGAAGGGTCTATCTCCTAATAGATAGACTCTGAACTTCGCGAGTGCATACTTCATGGCAAGGAGTTCCTTGTCATGCACTGGATAGTTCCGCTAAGCTGGTTGCATCTGAAGCGACTGATAGCAGACGACGCGTTCAACGCCTTCAAGATCGTACTGCATGAACGCGCAGCCGATTGCGAAATCGCTGGCGTCACATACCACATGAAATGGCCTGTCCTGATCTGCAATCGCTAGCACAGGCGATTGTACCAAGCTTTTCTTGACACTTCAAAGGAGTGCTAACATTCAGCACTCCACGACCACCTCTCATTTTCTTTAACAAACGAGAGAGATGTACGGTCATCCTTGGCGTAGTTGCTCGAGTACTTGTGCAAGTACGCCTCCAAGCCAAGGAAATTTCGAAGTCCCTTGACGTCGACTGGCACAGGCCAGTCGCTAATCGCCTTGACCTTTTCCGAATCAGGGCGTACACCGTTTTTACCCACGATGCAGCCAAGAAGTGGTGTTCCGTTCGCTGCGAATTTACATCTCTTGAGGTTCGCGCACAACTTTGCTCTCGCAATATCGTAAGAACCTTCCGGACGTAGATTCTATGAGCCTTCACGTCCGTCTGGCCATCTATAGCTTGAATATGGACGAAGAAATCGTCGAAATAACTCGGTGCGAAGTCGCGCACCGATTGCAACAGATTCGTAACACATCTGTTAAACGTAGCAGGGGCGTTACTTTGCCCCTGTAGCATCACTTGCCACTCACAGAGCATACCACTGGGGGTGCTCCCAAATCCATGGATGAAAAGATGGCACTCTTTGCCATACCATCTATTATGACATCCTTTGGGATCAGCGTTTGAGCCGGTACCGTTGCAGCTCTCAATTTGTTGAACGCGTGCACTGTCCGCCACCCTCCTGTTGCTTTCGCACAAAAGGGTCGGAGAGCTGTGTGGGGATGTCAATTCCCTCACATGACTAGCCGCTAAATGATCGGCAAAGAAATTGTCGATCGCTGTTACCTGAAACAGTACTTCGAACCAGGTTTCAGTTCGATTTCATGCCGAGTTCCTTTGTCTTCGAGGAGCTCGCATGGCACGGATTCCGGGATAGCATCCCTGAATTCCACCAAATCTTTATACAAAGGATTATTCTTTAGAGAGGCAAAAGATTGAGACGTGTATCGCTCGATCCGGGTCTTTTCATCGAGGACATTCTTGTCCGTAGATGAACGACTTAGAACCCGTTCGTTCTCAGCAAACACTTGTGCCGACCGAACATCGGCGACGTACTTGTCCTCTGTGACGAGTACGCAGATTTGCTTGATCTTGTCACTTCGCAGATCTTGCAAGAATCTTTCATATTCTAGCGTTGGCAACTTGACTACCTCCGAAGCTGAATCCGGGGGCGTAACAGGTCAAGTGTATAAGCGCCTTGACTTGATCCGTCATTCGCCAAGACATTCACTGTCTCGGTGATTTCCTGGGAAAACACATCCGCAAGTGGTTGGGGATCCACACCCTCAACATAACTCTGTCGGGAGTTATTGCTCTCAGGAACGCCGGAATTTTCTTTCTATACGTGTAATATCACGGTCGCGTCCTCTTCGATTGACTCTCTTTCAGTCAATCGGACTTGCTCTACGATCGACTCTCCGATAGTCGATCTCGCTTTAACGTGTTGTCCATCCTGAACAACACTAATCTCTCTTCTTGGATGCACCCTTCTTGTGTGCATCTGTGCTCCAGTCCACTCGGTCTCTTCGAGTGGTAAACCTTCGGCGCAGCCTGTGTCTCTACACAGCTGCTGGAAGCTAATTCCACAGTGTAGTGGTCTTCTACACTGTGATCTTGCGCAATCGTACTGACGACCGTACCACAAGTGAGGCCATAGCACTCACTCGTAGTACATCCACACGCTTGAAGACGCTCCAAGACTTTCATCAAATGGCCATCTGATGAACAAAAGGCAGGCATCTGCACGGATCGATGCTGCCAGCTAACCCACGGCTGGTATTTTCTCAGTCATGGCAGACTGAGGATGACATCACATTTGTCATCCAAATTTCGTACGACGATTTCATCATCGTACTGATTTCTTTCTAGCGTGTAGTGGATTCCCACTACACGTTTGTTCACTATTACGGATGCGCATGTAGCAAGGCACACCGTCATCCTCGTTGGATGAAACTCTCGCTCAACATAGTTGAGTCTACTATTATCTAGCGACTGGCACCGAATGAAACTGTTCGACGCACCACAGTCAACTAGGGCGCGAAGTGACATTCCGCTTGTCACTTCGATCTTCAAAGTGATGAGAGACTCCCCATCACTAGGGGCAGTAACACACAGAGACTGCGTGTTGGGAGTAATTTTTGTCAAGAGTCCTGCAAATTTTCTTGACGTTGCTGGATCAGTAGGAGCTCTGCCCCTACTGACCCTGACCGCTTTTTGACGGTCCGACTTGCTGTCGCGACTTAGCGACATGGTCGGACCCACGCCTTGGGCCTTCCCTTGGCCAACGGTGGTCATCACGTCATGCATTTGGACGTGTTGCAGTGCTAGGGACACTAAACGCAAGAGCGTAGTGTCCTATCGTCTAACAGCGATGGCATCTTGCCGTTCGCTTGTCTCTCAGATAGCGAGAGTTTACGCTCTCGATATAGCGGAGGTCCATTGGTTCGGGATCTCTTGTCTCCTGTCGTCTCGTTGGACGATAGTTTGACGAGCTGGCCTGAGACTGTCTCAGGCTGAAATCTTCTTGTTCGCATACGCTATCACCTTTTAGCGTATGGAAGTCATCTCGGAACAAGTAGGTCTTCACCGGCCCATCCACAAGGCCGTAGATGAACAAGTTGATGAGCGTATACTCATCAGCAGGGTTCTCCGTAACTCTGCTTGCAAGATAGCGCAGGTGCTGTGCGTAAGCGTGCACGTCACGCTTACCTTACTTTAGCCTTAAGAGTGCAGAGCGTGCTCTGCACTCGGCTCTCGGCAGCTCAAACGGCTCTTTAAGCCGAGACTTTTTCGATCTTAAACGACTTAAACACGTTTGAGTCGTGAAGCCTGATCCCTAAGGCCTAAGCCTTTGCTCATCCTGTCCAATTTTACAGGGCGAAGGTGACTTGCATCTCGTTACTCAGGATGTGACAAGCCCTGATGGCGTCGTTAAACTCGATGGAACGTCTCAAATGGGATCTTCATCGGTTCCTTTGTACCTTGAGATTTCAATCTTCAAGGTTTCGATTCGACGCATGTGCGTCGGCCCGCCCATCGACTGATGTGAGCCTTGCTGCTGTAGCAAGGCTATCTTCTGTCGTACGACGGCAAGGTTTTTTGTAGGAACTTGTTGATAGCAGCATGTTGCTGGTCTTTGCTTAGAGGCTCCAGCATACCACTGATGGCGGGTTCGCCCATGAGCACACTCATGCGGCCGACTACCTCCCATTCTGAGTCACTCAGATGGGAGTAGCCTTCACGCGTGACGTGAAAGCTGTCGTCTTCTACATCCAACATGTTCATGTTGGACGGACTACGAAGTGCTAACAGGTGAAACGGGGCACCCTTTGTCTGGGTGCCGCGAAACTTCACGTACACTAGTACGTGCAGAGGAAGCTAATCTACTTAATGAATCGGTCAAGTAAAGGGTAAAAAGAGAACTGTATTTAATACAGTTAAGCTATCAACAAAACTTTAGTCTTTATCTACCTATTTTAAACTACGCCGTCGTATGACGACAACCTGCTCATCAACCATAGATTGCCACCAATCGCTGCTATACGCGCGCAATGAGTGGTATGTCTTATATCAACCAATTTTTAAGCAGCGCATGGATAGAATCCAAAAGGAGATGATATTCCTGCAATATTATCCATCCCGGATAGTATCGGTAGGATATTGTCATAATAGACAATATTCCAATAGACACCGTTTGGTGTCAATTTCATGTAACGGGCTACCCCGTTACAAGAACCCCCTCCGTCCTCTGTGGTGGCCTCCTTGGCAGCATCCATGGTCCATGCTTTCGTAACGGAAATTAAAAGTCACCCAGGAACGAGCCAAATTGATTCGTGGCTGTTGACCATAAATGAGCTATTCGCCGTGAAATTTGATAAGCTCCCGATCGATGCGACTTAGCTTCCAGCCTCTAAAGCGCGGTATCCACGCTTGCGAGACTCTGAAGATTCGAGCGTTTTACGGCTGTATAAACAAGTGTTTGCGCGTTTACTGGTACCAACACGACTAAAAAAAATTATTCTCCTCCCCTGGAAAAAAATCTTGTCTCTACGAAACGGTCTTTTACTGCTATCGTTCGACGATTGGCTAGCCAACACAAGTGGGAGAAGGCTCCTGTGTTGAACCAGTGGGCGCAAGCTGCGCGGAAGGGGACACCTACCCCGGCGGGCAGTCAGGCTTACGTTTCCAGCCCGAAGTACGAGGACTTTATGTTCGATCTTTTCAAATTCGCTCATGCGGAGGCTGAGCGCCTCAAATCCATTTGTGAGGATCGTTCCTTCATCTTTCACAAAGCGTATCTGCGGAAGGAACTACTGATTAGTGGCTATTAATTACGGGGATCGCTGAAGGCCACATCGTGTGCCGGCGCATACCATTTTTTTTTCAAGGCGGTTCTGGACAGTCAGGAGCACTTGCGACTCTATAGCACGGTAAATGCTCAAGTGGAAGGTCAACTAGCTTTATCACTGGGTCCAGATCGGGGGATACCGATTAGCAGGCATACGACACGGTCCATCACGGAGACCGTACTCAATTCAGCGGAACTGGCGCAAGTCAGCCTGCCGGGGCTCCATCATTTTTTAGTCTGACAAAGACTATTTATAATGACCGTGCAACTAAGTCTCTACACTTCTTTTCTTTTTCGGGAGACAGCTGAACGTCTCAAGCATGTGCGCATCTCTTATCGCGGCAGAGTATACACCTTGTCGAACGCCCACCACCCGGAACGAGGGTCCGTTTGGGAAGGCCAGCAAGGCCCCACAGGACAGATATGGCACCAGCACGTGGAGTACACTTTTGCTCTTAATAATCTCACCCGATTCAATGAGATTGGATGAGTGGCAGCATACTTTAAGTCTAAGATCCCGACGGCTTTCGTGCCTGAGGAACTCGATACGTATTGTCCCAGGTCGCGTACGTCGGCATCTTGGAGAGTAACTTTCCGAATATCCGGCTGTCCCACGTTCCTTTAACAGATAGTAAAAAACCTTTGGTTCGGAACACCCATAATACTCCAGCTTCCGGATGTCGGGCGCTGTCTCCAATGTCCCCAGTGTGGAGAACTCGGCCACATAGCGGCCAGGTGCGGATACACAGAAATCCAACTTAAAGGGCCCGGGGGAATCGAGGTCCGCGAAAGAGGCCTCTGTACCCTCGCGGATTTGGCGAACCCATTTAGTAGCGTGGCCGAGGTGCGGCGTATGGCAGTAGACAGATTGACGGTCCAGAAATCTGCCGAGGCCGCTGCTAGTGCAGCCGTGACGCCCTCTGTGATCCCTTCCACTCAGGCCCCAGGCACAGCGAAGTCGTTAAGCAGGGACTCAGATGGGTATATTTCGGTTTGTACACCTGTAATTCGGGCTGCGTCAGGTTCTGGGACTGCTCCCTCAAAGGTTGACGAACGACCCTGGATAACGCAACCTCTGCGCGGGTCAAAGGATCTGTGGCATCAGGCACCGATGGCGCCGTCGCGAATGAAGATTTCTTCGGACGATCGTCAGTGTTGGAGCAAGCCGAAGTGCCTTCTACTACAGAAGATCGATCGCCAGGATCGTCCACTTCTGCGGATATTTACAGCACAAAGGCTGCCCGCCCCGTCCAGACCTTGATAGTCAAGCTCAGTCAGCGGTGTTTGAAAAGAGACATGATTTATCCCGTGGAAAGGCGCTTACATTTGGTTCCGATTCTGTTAACAATTAAAAGTTAGGAACGTGCCACGTGTGACCGTATACTACGTAGCCTGATGGACGTCCCCAAGCGCGCGCTTTCAATGGAACAACGTCCTCAGCGGGTACCGAGCGATATGCGTAGTCTGGTCCGGCTCTTGGGATTGCAAGAGGTGGTAACCCCAGCGACTGGGAATTGTAGGGCGATGGCAGTAGCACAGGCTCACTCTGATGCTGACATGCATAGCGAGAGTGACGCATTTTGAACAGCTCACGGCAAGTGTAAAACGCGGCATTCGATGTGCCGGTCTTCTAAACTTAGACCACAATTATGCCCATGTGGTGCGCATCCAGGCTTTTCCTAACGTTGGGAGAGGTTAGACGACAATGAAGCCTAAAGAATCGGCGAACCCGTTTTGCTGGTTCTTACATGACTGTGCCTCTTCTCCGTTGGACTGTACTTTTACTTTTGATGGAACGGTCTGGGGGGGCGATATGCTCGGGATGGCGGCTATATTTCTTCACCAGGACATCTATGTACTCCACGTGGAAGATGAGGGATGAAGGAGCCATAGATGCCGAAAGTACTGCGCGACCGTAAAGACAAAGAACAATATGGCGTTGCAAACGGTTCGAGAGGTGCCATTAGCGTTGATGGAATTTATCGACGAGTTGTAGAGAGCTAAAGTTGCGACGGAGGGACGACTGCCACTGGTGCTCCAAAAAAACGGCAGACGCTATTAAGCGTTTCTGCACTCAGCCCCAGGGCGATCTCCCAGATATGGCGGTGGCTTCCTCACAAGCTCTTGTATGCACACCATACTCTCCCGGAGCAGATCAGCCAGAGTTTGGCAGTGATAGACCGATCGCCACGACAACGGACGTTCACGAGGATCCTTTGTCAGGGACCCCCATGAAACGAACAGCTGGGCGCCTATGTTAATGTGGGCCGCTAGTTAACCCGCGACTGATCGAGGCAGGAAATGAATTCATTTGTGTCAATCGACCCCACGAATGGACTGCGGCTTCAAAAGTATGTCGAGTGTGTAACGGGGCACCCTGAAGCTTGTACTGATGACAGTGCAAGCTACTTATTCTGATGCCAGAATAAGGCGGTGCCTCGTGACTTCACGTACACTCGTACGTGCAGAGGAAGACGGTAAGAAGAAGCGAGTACTTGGTTAGAATAAAAAGTAGAACTGCATTTATCATAGTTAATGTCTGCAATAAATCACTATTTATCTTCATCTAACTATGTCTAAATACAAAGGTGTAAATCAACTATCTGCTCACCACTCATTGCGTGCGTCTGTCGTGGTGCGTCTTCGTTGGTTGATATAATGGCCTATATCAACCAAGTAGGAACTACTCGTAAGTGCTACAGAATATTTATCCTTATGACAATATTCTGAGAATATAACTCTTTTAGTGATATTCTAATAACAATTTCTTATAAATTGTTATGTAACGATTCACCCCGTTACATCACCCCCCCCCCTTAACCATCAGTCACTTTAGTGACTGATTGACTAAATGGATACTCGTCCCAAATCATTTGGGACAGGGTTTGCACTTGTTGGTCCGAGTCCACAGTCCATCAATTTCATCGCATGCTAAACAAGCCCATGCGATGCGCGAGCAAGGCCGCCGAGAGCGCATCTGCACGTCTCTGTGCAGACGCCGAAGCAGAAACCACAGCAACCGATGTCTCATCGGTTGCTGAAGCGACTCAGCCTGTGTCACTTGGTGATACAGGCGCCGGTCATGAAGACACTCATGTCTTCACAGAGTATGAGCTCGGTGTCTCATACTCTCCTGATACGGAAGACGAATCCGTATCGACGGCGATCGAATCCAAGCCGCCTGCCAAGCGTGGAATGGATGATGCTACGCGTCGTAGCGTCTTTGGTTCGTCTGACGAATCAGACGAACCATCGCCAAAGCGAAGGCGCTCGAGGTCGCGAGACTCGGGCGCTAACAGTGGTGTCGGTTCTCCTATGGACACCACTTCACAGCGAGGTGCCAGTACTTCTGTGGGCACGTCGCAGGAAGAGCGGGACCGCAATGTGTTGCGTCTCGCTCCTGAGAAGAAGGCATGGATGCCTCCCAAATCCGTCATGGATCACTTGTCGTCGCCGACAAGTGATCGTTATCGAACACGGTTGTTCGATTCGTCAAGGATCCATAACCTTGATCCCAGTGCGAAAGACTATCGCGCTGAACATGAGTTCTTCATCGATGCTTTCTTCAGACATCGATGGTACAGTGGGAATCACAAACGTGATGGTCCCTCACTACTTCAGGCGTGGAACGCCTACATCCATAATCTCGAGGATGTAGGTCGTGACGCTTGGAACGACAAACTTATCAAAGCTCGTGATAAGTTTGAAAAGCGAACCCCGACAGGTGCACGCTATAAGCTGCATCGTCTGTCAAGGGAGAAAGGATTACCCTGCCTCTCTTGGGGAGACTCGTGCCCATGTTGTGTGAACAACTCTGCACGAGCACCTAAGGAGGCTTACCTCCTTACCAGCCCGTGGTGGCGCGTACGTGTCTCTACTGAGATGTACGAAGGGATTGACAACCTGAAATCCCTTTACGACCGTGCCGGGAAGACTTTCTCCGGCGGTCCTTCTGCGGCACAGGATGTGCCGCGTCGTACTGCTCGACCAGACCCAGTACGTCACCCATCAGTTGGGAGCGGGGCCCCCAAGTATCCCAGGACGGGGGATAGCCGCGCCACCGGACGAGATAACTCGACCGACGTCCGTTAACGTCGCGGTGGTTCAACAGCTGCTCAACTAGATAGCACTGGCCATCGCGAGAGTCCTCTAATGGAGGTGGAGGAGGAGGGAAGACGCTCTCCACACGATCATGTGGATCGGTGTGTTCCCGAGAGCTTCTTTGATTGCGTAACGCAAGGGTTACGCGACGATCTCGAACATGAGCGGGACAGGCGTCTCCAAATGGCGGACACTGCCTCGAAGCATCGAGCTGAGTTTGCCTTTGCTCAGCTTGAGAACGAGAGATCTCTGACATCTCTTCGTGACGAGCTACGGGTAGCTCGTGGAATTGTTGATCGGTCTCGGGATGAGATATCTGCTCTTCAGACCCTTGTCGATGCCCACCATCGGGAGCACAAGGCTCTCTGCGAGATGCTTGAGCGCAAGGGCGTTCTTCATCGGAAGAAGCAGCGTACTGATGGTACGGCTTAAGCCGACCAACGTAAAACGTGGGATGCGTTCGCATCTTACGTGGTAACTCGATCGTGCAGGCATTGCCTAGGCGGTGCAATACACGAAATGGGCCGATGTACTTGGGTAGAAGTTTACTGCTACCCATGTTAGTCACTACATGCTTTGGTAGATTAACCGTAGACAGTAGGACTAAGTCACCCTTATTGAATAAAAGAGTGTTTGCCCTCCTATTCTTGTCTGCGTTTTGATTTTGCCTATCCACCGCTTCGGCGATGGAATCTTGCACAAAACGGACTACCGTTTCACGAGCCAGTATGAACTCATCTGATGGCTCGTTATCTTCAGTGCGCTGTGAGTGCACTGCAGCGACAACAATCTTTTCTTCAGTGAGGGCTTCCGCGCTCTCACTGGCATTATCTTCTTCGATATCGATGTTATCGATATCGGCATCATACGCAATGACCTCTTCGTCAGAGCGTGATGAGCGTGAACCCAATCGGCTTTTGCTCGCGCGAGTCCATTCCCCCCTTAAACCAGAGTCACACTCTAGCAAGGTGGGTACACGCGGATGGCGTAAGCCATTCACGTAAAACGGTGTATGTGTCGTGGACGCATGCACCGAGTTGTTGATGGCAAACTCTACCATTGGCAAAAACTCACTCCAACTCTTAAAGGCGTCTACGTATCCTCGAAGTATCTCTTCGAGGACACGATTGGCACGTTCCGTCTGACCATCTGACTCTGGATGATCAGATGTAGACATCTTCAAGCGCGTTCCGAGTGATTTGAACACGGAACGCCGGAAATCAGCAGTGAATCGTGGATCTCTGTCTGATACGAGTTCACGGGGCAACCCATGAAGTCGGAAGATGGTGTCAATAAAGACACAAGCACATCCACTTGCCGTGATTGTCTCTGGTATAGCCACAAGGTGTACCATTTTGCTGTAATTGTCAACAAATACGAGAATACCCGTGTTCCCGCGTGCGTCTTTGGGTAACCCGAAGACGAAATCCATTGAGATGGATTCCCAGCATTCAGCCGGAACCGATAGAGGCTGTAAAGGTGCACGCAGTGAAGGACTTGACTTCACTCGTTGACAGACTTCGCATGCGCAAATGTACATGCGCACAAACTGATACTGGCGGGGCCAGTAAAAGTCTCGACTCACCGTGAGATATGTTTTCTCACGGCCACGATATCCTCCTATAGGAGCATCGTGATACTCGAACATGATCCGCAAACGCAGATCAGTATCATCTGGAATGACAACACGTGGTGTGTCACCAGAAACGGCTGTATAATACAGTAAACCGCTGTGAGTAGTGTATCGATCTGATACAGATCGATACGCAGACGACAATCGTTTCAACGATTCTCGAGATGGCTGTGAGAGATGTGTCAACAGCTTCACAATCTCACCATCTTGGGCATATGCCCGCCTCACATCATCATGCAACGTTGTAGATGGGACTGAGGACGTCATAACCGCAACAGTGACTGCCTCACTGTTGACTTTCACGACTGTTTCAAAGTAGGGAAGACATGAGAGTGCATCAGCGACGACATTAAGTCGTCCTAGCTTGTACTCAACCGTAAAGTTGTATTCTGCAAAGAATGACAAGCACCGCGCCATTCGTTGTGAAAGGTGCGGGCTATTCACTGCCGTGCGTAATGACGCATGGTCAGTGTAAACAATGAAGGGTCTATCTCCTAATAGATAGACTCTGAACTTCGCGAGTGCATACTTCATGGCAAGGAGTTCCTTGTCATGCACTGGATAGTTCCGCTCAGCTGGTTGCAGCTGACGCGACTGATAGCAGACGACGCGTTCAACGCCTTCAAGATCGTACTGCATGAACGCGCAGCCGATTGCGAAATCGCTGGCGTCACATACCACATGAAATGGCCTGTCCTGATCGGCAATCGCTAGTACTGGGGATTGTAATAAGCTCTTCTTGATACCATCAAAGGAGCGCTGACATTCAGCGTTCCATAACCACATCTCATTCTTTTTCAACAAACGAGAGAGGTGCACAGTCATCTCGGCGTAATTGCGTGAATACTTATGCAAATACGCCGCCAGCCCAAGGAATTTTCGAAGACCTTTGACGTCGACTGGCACAGGCCAGTCGGTGATCGCCTTGATCTTTTCGGGATCAGGACGTACACCGTTCTTACCAACGATGCACCCAAGGAGTGGTATTTCGCTTGCTGCAAATATACACTTCTTGAGGTTTGCATACAATTGATGCTTTCGCATGATTGTAAGAACCTGTCGGACGTGGTACCTGTGAACCTCAACGTCCGACTTTCCATCCATAGCCCGACTATGGATGAATACGTCATCGAAATAACTCGGCGCGAATTCTCGTACCGGTCTCAACAGATGTGATACACATCTGTTGAACGTGGCAGGGGCATTACTAAGCCCTTGTGGCATTACTAGCCATTCCCAGAGCATGCCGCTAGGCGTGCTCACTGCGGTATAGGGTATATCCCGTTCTCGCATAAGGATTTGATAGAAGCCATCCATCAAATCCATGGACGAAAAGATGGTACTCTTTGACATACCATCAATGATTACGTCCTTCCTTGGTATCGGCGTTTGTGCCGGTACCGTTGCAGCATTCAACTTGTTAAATGCATGCACTATCCGCCACCCTCCTGTTGCTTTTCGCACACAGAAGGTCGAAGAGCTATGTGGGGAAGTTTATTCCCTCACATGACCCGCAGCTAAACGATCGGCAAAGAACTTGTCGATCGCAAGTACTTGTCCACGAGGCAGTGGCCACTGCTTCATGACGCAGTACTTCGAGCCTGGTTTAATCTCGACCTCGTGTCGAATACCTTTATCCTTCGGTAATCCGCACGGAACAGTTTCAGGGAATACGTCCTTGAATTCAACCAAATCTTCATAGAGAGGATTTGTCTTGAGCGATTCCCACGATTGGGAGTCATATCGCTCAATTCGTGTCTTTTCATCTAGGACACTCTCGTCCATAGATGAACTACTGAGAACTCTCTCGTTCTCAGTAAACATTGTTGCTGACCTTATGTCGGTTACACACTCGTCGTCAGCGACGAGTACGCAGATCTGCTTGACTTTGCCACTACGCAGATCACGCAAGAACACTTATGTTCGAGCGTTGGCAACTGAGTGATCTCCGAAGTCAACGTCGGAGGCGCAATCAGATCAAGTGTATAAGCGCCTACACTTGATCCGTTATTGACTATGACATTCAATGTCTCTGTCATTTCCTGGGGACTTATTCCCTCAGGCTTCGAAGGACTTATTCCTTCGGCTTCCCGGGGACTTATTCCCTCGGGTTTCGGGGAACTTATTTCCGCCGTATTTGTATCATCGGGACTTATTCCCTTTTCTTCCTCTAGCTGTGGTTGCGCAACCACAGCGAGATCCTCTACGAAAGACTCTCCAGTCGATCTAGGATTATCGTTTCGCTTTACCTGAGCGATCGATTGTTTCTCTTCTAGATGTTCCCCGCTAGGGATACATCTTTGTCCCAGTCCACTCGACTTATTCGAGTGGTGGACCTTCGGTGCAGCCTGTGTTTCCTCACAGCCGCCGGAACTTTGCTCCGAAGTGTAACCGTTTGTTACACTAAGGTTTCGTGCAGTCGTACTAACGACCGTACCACAAGTGAGGCCATCGCACTCACTCGTAGGACATCCACACGCTTGTGGACGCTCCAAAACGTTCATGAGATGGCCATCTGATGAACAAGCGGCAGGCATCGTTACTGTTCGATGTTGCCAGTTTACCCGTGGTTCGTACCTTCTGAGCCACGGTATTCCAAGGATGACATCAAATTTGTCATACAAATCCAATACGATAAAGTCATCGTCATATTGGGTATCTTCTAGCGTATAGTGAATCTTCACTATACGCTTCATGACGGTTACGGATGCGCCTGTCGCAAGACGTACCGTCATCCCCGTAGGATGTGTGTCACATTCACTGAAGTTGAAGTGACCATCTTCTAGCGATTGGCGTTGCACAAAATTGTTGGACGCCCCACAATAGACTAGAGCTCGAAGGGACAACTTATTCGTCACTTCGAGTTTCAAGGTAATGAGTGAGTCCTCATTACCTAGAGCAGCAACGCACAACGTTTGTGTGTTGGGAGCAACCTTCATCAAGAGGCCTACAAATTCTCTTGACGTTGCTAGACCAGTAAGGTGCTCCGCACCTACTGATCCTGTCCGTTTTTTTACGGTCCATCCCGTTGTTGCGTCTTTGCACCAACAGCGGACCCGCGTCCCTGCCCCTTTCTCATGGGTGGACGGTCACTACGCCCAGTGTTGCGAGACACTGGACGAGGGGCACTACACTCGTAAGCGTAGTGTCCTGTCTTCTGACATCTGTTGCATCTCTGCAACTTCTTGTAGTCTGTAGAGCGATCCTTCTCGCTCTCTACATAACAGAGTTCCATCGGCTCTGGACCTCCGTTGTCATATCGTCTCGGTTGACGATATGATGTCGAGCTGGCGTGAGCCTGTCTCAGACTGAAGTCTTCCTGTTCCGCAATAGAAATGGCTTGTTCTAGTGAATCTAG